TTTCCTCTAAATTCCATAGAGGACTATATAGATAATAGAGGCGTCGGGAATCTAGTGAAGACTTCCTAATGACCTTGTCTGCCTGTAAGTAGATTTCTCTCATTTATAAAGCTCCAGAGGATAAGGACCATGTCATTGTCCTCATTTATTATTCACTCATTATTGACAGCCATCCACTCTGAGCCAGGCACTGGACTAGACATTGAGAACAGTAGAATAAGACATATATCTGCCCTTGAAGGGTTCCCGTCTGCTAGAGATAAAAACAATGAATTACAATGTAAATGATATATACTATAGCAAGAATTGTACAAAATGTTGTAGGAGCCCAGGAAAAGGAACAGATGAATCTGCTGAAGATAAAATTTAGGAAGGTTTCACCACGGAGGTGATATGTTACCTGACCCTTGAAGGATATACCAAGTGGGAAGGGGAAGAAAAAAATAGGAAACACGTGAGTGTGAAAGTGCACGTGGAGGGGTGGGGGAGGAGGAGAACTGTGGTTTCACAGTGCTAAAGGTGTTGCAGGAGAGGTAGGCCTGAACCAGCTGATTCTAAGGAAAACAAGATAATGAATGGTTGTCTATGGTCCACTGGCACACAGCAGGGGATGGAAAGCTGTAGTTTTCATTTCTCAGACTCCCTTGCAACTAGAATTGTGGTTTTAATTCGATGTACTGATAGGATATCGGGAAGACAAAAGTGATGATGAGGCCCTTTTCCTGTTGCTGCTCAGGCTTTCACTCTGCTGGCAAGCAAAGTCATGGAGACACAGGAGCTTTCTACGGCATCACTATGTCCAGTCTTGATCAAGGGAGTTAAGAGGCAGTTGTAGCAGTGCTAGCAACTTATGATCATGGCTTCCTTACAGCTAGATCACAGCTATCCTAGTAGTTTCTTGAACTCAGTGTTGTTATTGTGGACTCGTGACTCCCCAAAGGTAGCAGTCTCCCCGACTGATGGGTTCTGCAGGGTTCTGGCAGTCATTCAGACAGGTCCAGACTTAAGCCTGCTCCTCCAACCTTTCAACAATATTGGAAGCATTTAATTCCTCTAATTAAGTCCCCTTCTTATTAAAATATTTAGATTAGCTTCTCCTTTTTTGCATGGAGTCCTAACTAATAGAGCAAAGATAAGGAATTCATGACTATCCTATATGTGAATGAGAATGATATGGCTAACATGTCTGTTTGAAATGACAAAACAAGTACCATTTCAGTTAAAAAGACAGTGACTTTTTAAATGTTCTTGGTCTAAAATTTATGTATTCTATTTTTTCAAAACAAAATATCTATGCTTGTTTTTCAATAATACATACTCCCTGTCTTCTTTATGTTATTTCTGGAATGGAAGTCTAAAGAATCAACTCACTTAAAAATATTAAATCAATTTTCAAATAAAATTAGGGTTACTGTATTTCATTTTATATTAATTGTATTTATATTAAATTCATTTTTTCTTTGTGATAACAGTAGTAAGTCATTGACTTTATCAACTCACATATTTTAAAATGCTTTTATAAAAACCATGCCCAGAGCCAGCCAAGTGGCGCATTGGTTAAGAGCTGGCTTGGGACACCAGCTCTAAGCAGCAGGACCCTGGTTCGGATCCCACATGAAGTCCAGTGACACTGCCCTCTACAGCTAAGATGTGAACAACAGCTCGACTTGGAGCTGGGCTGACTGAGTCGCCGGTGACAGCATAGGCTGCAGCCCCTGCTGCAGTGGGCTGCCATCAGCTACCGTGAGTGGCCGGCAGCCAGCGTGAGCGGCCAGCAGCCGGTGTGAGTTGCCAAGAGCCGCTGTGAGCGGCCGTCCAGAGGCCGGCGACCGATCTGCCTCACCCGGGAAGAGCACAATGATAATACCAACATGGGCCAGTGAAGCAATGTCCTCCACAACTAGACTGAAGAACAAAAGGACAGCAACTTGTCTGTTCCCCTTCCCCAGATTCCCCAACGCTGTTCCCCTCCCCCAATTCCCCAATAAAATCTTAAAAAAAAATAAAAATAATTAAAAAATAAAAACCATGCCTAGAAAAGGCTTGGCCGTTATTTGTTATACTTCCTATAACTTTTTTCTTTTCAATTTAGTAACATATATATGTTTAACATATAGGACCCAGAGAAAGTTTTATTTTTAAAACAAAAGAAAACCTGAATGTATCAGTTTCCATTTTACATAAGTCTGGTCAATGGAAATACATTTCTATATACTGTTCTCTTCCACTTACTGGAACGGTAGGCCCAGGGAATTGAATTTTTAAAGTCCTCACCAATTCATCAGTCCTCCAGACAGCGGATCCTTTGTTTAGCAGAGCATGGTAAAGAGTTGTTTTTTTAATGTATGTGCCCAAAGAAACCCAGTAAAGAGCGAAGACTTCAATTTCTCTACTCTATACAGCAATTCTGAGTTTCAGAGGCAGCCCTAAAGAGAAGTGACACAGCCCAGAGGTAAAGAGAAGTTTTGCTTTGGAGGAAAAAGGAAGAGGAGCAACGCTCTTCATTTGGGAAAGAAATAAAAGTCAAATGACAGGAGTGAGATTGCAAATTCAAAGACAAGTCAGAGCAATAAGTGGCTAGAAGACACTCCCCACTACCTCCATCATAGATACAAATGGGGTGCTGGGTAGCGTGTTTGAGCTATTTTTATATAAATATTAAATGGGAGGAGAATCCAGAAGTTTTACACTTGGGTGAGAACATCAGCCATCCTTAATGCTGCTGTACATATTTGAGGAGTATTAGTGGGTGAGGGCAGTGGTTCGGTAAGGGAATGAAAGGTGGTCTTGAGTGTAGTGTGGGTAGAGTTGCGAAGAATGATTAGGAGGCTTTTGCAACAATAGTTCAGGAAGCTAATGATAAAGACCTGATCAAAACAATATCAGTAGGAATGATGAGGAAGGGAAGAATTCCAAACATCTCAGTGTAGAATCAATAGGACTATTGACTGAATGGCAGAGAGGCATGGCTGAAATACCTCCAAGGTTTCTAATCATGAGTAACTGAGTGAACAATAATGCAATCATCAGAGTTTAAAAATACAGTAAATGGGGCAGGTTTTGTGGGGAAAATGGTGATTTCCAGTTGAACATTTGTGAGCTATCCAGAAGACTGCTGGAAGTAAACATTTATTCAGTATTTTGGAATTAAGCTGTAAGCATGAATTAGAATCCCCAGAATGTATCAAGAAAAGAGAAGGAAGAAGTGAGCATGGATGTATGGTAGCTAGGAACATTTAAGAGCTAGGTAAAGAGAGAGGAGCCAAACAGAAATTAAAAGGAAGAAACTGATATCATAAATACCAAGGAAAAAGAATGTCAAGAAGTGAATTGTCAGTATTGTCAAATGCTTAATAAGATACTAGCCAAAAAGAAGTCATTGGATTTGACGTGAATTATTAATGGATGGTGGAAGTAGAAACCAAATTGTTGTCATCTAAATGAATGTCAGTGAAGACATGGGGATAGAAAATTAAGGCTCTTCTGAAGACAAAGATGGTACATCAGTAGTTGAGAGGGAGTCAGTGTCCACAAAGGATTTTTTATCCCCATCATAGTCCTAGCCTAGCATTTTGCATCTAGTAGGCACTCAGTATCTATTTAAATGCAATATTTTCATTTATAGACCAGCTCTCCTATGAAAAGAATCCAGTGTTCTCCAAATAAAACAGTACAAAACAGATTCATCATTTCAGATGGGGAGAGGGACGGAAGGAAATAAAGACATTTCATATTCTATGTTACAGTTTGAGTTAATTGGTAAGAATCATAACTTTTGTCTCACCCCCCTCCCTGACCCCACACACTTTAATTGTAGATTATAGAGGGGAAAGAAGCTAAACAGCTTGCTAATCCTGTTCCCTGAGGACAGAATTGCATAGTCCAAACAAGAACTTTAGCTATCTTACTTTATGAAAGATTAGGCATCAAGATGCCATGATTTGCCTTAATTACACATTCCATTTTCATTAGGTTACATATATAATATAGGAAACTTGGAGAATTTTTAAATAACGTAATAAGTGCTTATAACATAGCATTAAGTGGAAAAAAAGGCTACCATATTACACACATAGTATGATCTCAAACTGGGGGGAAAGAGAAAATATATAAATACAAATACACACACAAAGTAGGAATAAATACTAGAAGAAAATAAACTAAAATGATAACAGGCCTGGGCAGCCGAATTCGAGTTTTTTATTTTTTTCATCTTACTTTTCTGTATTTCCCCAATTTTCTACAATTAAAAAATGCTTTAAAATTTCTATAAAGTCATGGAATTTCTATCTGAACACTAGCAATTTAAGCCCATTCCCTTTGGTCTAGGTGGCTCTAAAATAACAATAGTTTTTAACAGTAATTCACCATACGTGAAGTATGCCGCAATCTTCTTCATTCTCAACTTCTTAGCCTCTTTCTCTGATTCATCTTACTAGCTGCTTGTACTTCCCTGGGTTACGACTCCTGGATTCCAAAGGTGGGTTTTAGGAAGCAACTTGGAAAATGGAATAGAGAGTCGAAAGTTCGTATGGGAAAAGATAATTTACTTAAATCTGGGCTCGGCCATCTACCGGTTGTGGAGCACTGGATAAACAGTTCCCATCGTGCCCCTCGGTTTTCCCATCTCTAAAATGGGGTTTGTAGCATGCACACGTGGGTCATGTGTGGGGCGGGGCTCATGGGAAGGTAGGAGGTGCCGCCGTCAGCGAGGCCTAGGATCCCGGAGCTCTCAGGGAGTCGCTCAGTGAAAGGCTCCACTGCAAACGCGCTGACGCTGAGGGGCGGGGCCCGGGCATCTGTTTTTCAGTAGCTTCCCAGGTGCTGCAGATGCTCAGTCACGTTTGACAACCAAGGCTCTTTCCAGCCCTCCCGTCCTCTGGTCCGCCTCTCGGCTTCCTTCTGGTCCCAGCGACTTCCAGTTCCCGCAACAAGGGGAGCGGGGGGCGGGGAGAGAGGGCGCCGCCGAGGCCCGCCGGGCCTGCCCGGGTCCCGGCCTCTCGCCCGCCGCCCCGCCGCCCCTGCCGGGCGCCAGCCGGCGGGTTACATAACGGGACCTGCGGGACGCTCTCGCGAGGCTTCCACCGCCTTCTCCTCGCTCCACGTCAGAGGGAACCGGGCGGAGCGGCCAACATGGCGGAACGCAGGCGACACAAGAAGCGGATTCAGGTAGCCAAGTCCAGTCCGGGGGTAGGGGCTTCGGGGCGCTCAGAAGTGGAGGAAGCGGGGAAAGCCCCCTGAAAGGGCGAGCGAAACCGACGGCGAGGTGGGGAGGGGCTGCGCCGCGCGGCCGCCGGGTGCGGGCTGCGTCGTGCTGAGGGGCCTGAGGGAGGGCGGTGTTGGCGGCGGCGGAGTCTGTGGCTGAGGCGCCGGGACCGCGGCGGAAGGCAGGAGGCGCCGCGCTGGGGATCGGCCGCCCGGGGTTCCGGTGGCCGCCTCGGCCCGGCCCGCGCTGGGTGGGGGTGGTCTGCCTCCTGCCGGCGCTGACACCGGCCCTCCCCGGGCTTCCCGACCCCATCCTCCCGCCTTAGCCTCTCGAAATGAAGGCCACGGCGATTAGTGGAGGAGGAGGAGGCTGACCGAAAGCAGCCAGCTCTTTGTGCGCCAACAGAAGGACCGTGGAAGGGGGAGCGATCTGTGTGTGGTCAGCCGCCCCGGGGGCCCAGGCGGCGATCTGCTCGAACCAGATGTTCAGTGGCGTTTACCATCCTTTCTCCTCAACGTTACGAGGTTAATGGTCCAAGTGAAGCTCCCCGGCTTTCTTGGGGCGACACAATGTAAACAAACACATCCGCGCTGGCCCTGGAACGAGCTGGTCGCGCCCAGAAACCTTTCACAGTGTGTCATCCTCGTAACCTACATTACACCCTTCCCTCATTCCACATGCGTGTCGCCTGTGCAGGGCATCCCTGCGGCCCCTCCCCTGTCGTTCTGGCTCTTGACCCAAGAGAATTAAATATGTGGAACACGGTAGACTCAGGATGCCCGTTGTCTCAGCAGCTCATGTGCCTAGAAACCTCGATGTGTCATCATAAATTGATAGCATGTTGTACATTGTTACTGTACTAATCACACATTGTTACACTCATTGTCTGTCTGTTCCTTACCGTTTCTTTGTTCAGAAGGACTTTTTCTGTCTATTGTTTTATTCTTCCATTAAAAAAAAACAAAAAACCCTATCACTTAATTGGCTTACACCACAGGTGATTGAAGTTAAAATTCTGCAAACTTTGAAGCACTAGACAAAAGATGCCTAGCGATCAGTAAATTTGGAATTTTGGAGTTGGACAGAAAATAAAAAAGTAGGGTAGGAAGGGGATCATAAAGAGACCAATTCCCCTGAATTCAGACAGGTCATAAAACCAAGGCTTTAGGTTATTATGGAAGAAATTTATAATTATAGTATTCCTAGTCTTTCAAAATTTAGTATCATTGTTTAAATATGACTGTAGAAGACTTTTATTAGAATTTGTATTGAATTTGTCAAATTTGTACTTACTGGACTCCTTATATTTATACATTACATTTTATGTCCTTTAATAAACAATTTTTACAATTTCAGCAGTTATTTAATATTGTTGTGAGGCGATCCTAATTCACTTTTTAAATAGCTACTTTATTTCAACTGTGATTTTATATTAAATAGGAAAGTAGATTTAGAAGCTTTATAGTCGTAGTGGTTGGGAGCTAAAACTTGAGCCAGACTGTACCTGTTTATACCCATGTCACTAATTGTTAGCTGTGTAACTTTGGGCAAGTTACTTAACTTTTTACCTCAATTTCCAAATCTGTAAAAAGGAATATTTACCTTAAAAAAAAAAAAAGGAACCTCATAGGGTTGTAAGGTTGTTGTGAAAACATACATTAAAAGAATGCTTAATGTATTGCATACCTCCTTCCTTTTCTCTCCTCTCCAAGGGTGAAGGATTTAGGATGGTTTGTTTTGTTTTTTTTAAGCAATCTGATATGCCAAAGAAAGATTTACACATATGTATTCAGTAAATAAACCATTAGGTTGTGAGTTCCATAAAATATAGCTATTTACTTACTATTGTTTATCTAAAGATCACATAGGTATATGAGGATCTGATTGTTAAAAATCAGCTTAGCATATGCTAAATCAAACTGACATTTCCCATCCCCAAGTTTTCTATTTACATAGCTGTGCTAAAATACTGTGAAGATCTTGGGAGTGCTACTTGGAGTACTACTGTGCAATTAATTTGTCTTAACAAATTAATAAAAATATACAATATCTTATAAAATTCCTTGATTCACTCCGCCGCCCACCAGAGACTCAGAAACTGTATAATATTGGCATCACTTTAGACAAAAAGATCAAATATAATGACAAAGTCCAGTTTAAATTACAAAAAAGATTCTATTGTAAGACTTTTGGGCAAAAGTTCTGTAATATCAACTGAGTTTCCTGTTGTTTGTTATTTGATGTTTCCTGTTCAGAAAAGATTTTTATGTTTAGTAGATTTAGTGAACTTCAATTGTAATTTGTACATTGGGGGAAATGATTGCTACAGACAAGTTCAGGGTATTAAAAAAGTAGCTAATTCATTTGCTTTTTCTAGTGTAGCATGCTTTCAGAGATTCTGATATCCCATCAAAGTTGGAAGCAAGAGGACTGACTGTTTTGTCATGTTTCCTTCTTGGAATCACTTTACTGGTCACTGAAAAACAGAAGTGAGCTACATGTTCATTGACATTTTATTGGGAACTTTTAATGATTGAGATTCTGAAATGAGAGTGATCTCAATCTAAATTAATGAAACATTTGAAAATAAATAATTTTAAGTTATTTAAGAAAGCAATTAGGTAAGTTTCTAAGAACATATAGTAAGTGCTTATAAGCTAACAAAGTGCTGCTTACTAGAAAGGTTGATTTAGAATCCTAGTATGAAATTTAAGAGTTGAAAAGGATTTTCAAATAGCAGGATTTGTTTGGAATCCTTTTGCACAAATGCATTTCTTATAGAAAAGCAGAGTGGTGGGCCCAAAGCCCTATCACTTCAGCACCCCACTACTACCATCATCCCCACACTCCATCATCCTTTAAGCTATTATACTTTTAGGACCTTGATAAAAAGAACTACTAGGTATAAAACTTATTGCACGAAACACCCTCATTTTACAGATAAACAGGTTTAGTGAAGTTACATGACGACCCAGGGTCACTCATCAAGATAGTAAAACCAGATTTAGATCGTCTTTTCATTCCAAGTTGAATGTTCTTTCCACCTCACCATTGAAAAAATAAAAATAAATTGTTCTGAAATATTTTAATCATGAAATTTTTATAATAAATTTTATAATATAAAGACTTAACATGACTTGTCCCTGCTAAAGAGAGAATCATCCATTTAGTGTTCTGCTTATGTAAAGTATCTAATTGAGTTTTTGGGACATTAAATGGCTTACTAATTCTTAGAACTTTTATAACCTGCATCTCAGTTAATTTTGTTGCACCCATCTCTGTCCTCTGGGCAGTTAAATCCTGACATCATGCATGGGTCTATATGCTTAATTTCAAAAAAGGAAAGAAAAGAGAAGGTTTAGCATTATACAATCTGACTGTCTGGGACCTTCTGAAGAAAAGAAAAGGAACGCAGGAAGCCAGTCCTAAGTGAAAACTCCCCCCAGGGGTTTAATGGAGGGCTTAAACAATAGTGCAGCAAGGAGGTGTTACTGAAGGACACTGTCAGAGTTAAGACATAGATTTGTAGAACTTTATTAGTGATGTGCTGTGTGACTTTAAGCAAATAATTTACCTGACGTCTGCACCAGCTTTCATATTTTATTGTTAACCTATTTGCATTTTCACAAATATTTTATACTGGTTGTATGAAGATACAAATTCAGTTTGTGAACTAATCTTTTTTTTTTTTTTGCTCAATTTACTCGACAAATCAACTAAGCATATTTCTATTGAATATAGCAATTTAAAAAATTCTTATAAATCAAAAATCCTGTAAGATTGAATGAAGCCTATGGCTTACTGACTCAATCTCATCCTTTTTTTTCTCAAAAAGCACTGACTAAAATAATACATAGTTAGAAATTGTGATTCCTATTTCATGTAGTATTTGAGTGTTGATGTATTCTAAAGTAAAAATAGTATTTGTTAAATAATTTAAAAAGAGTGTTCTAACCAAACTTTCAATTTATATAATTTTGGATTGTGAGTTGCTGCAGCCGGCATCTTGGTATTTGGTTTTAAAGATGGCAGTTCAGCCTCAAAACATTGGTTCTTTGCTCCCTCATTCTAAGACAGTTGAGCTCATGTATTGAGCTATATAAAGTTTTCTTCATTTGAGGGTTGATGAGCTGGTTTCTCTTTTATTAGTGGGTCATGCTATTCCCAAAAGGCCTTCACTTTTTGTTAGAAGGTTTCCAGAAAAGTTATGAAAATATTATGAAGATTTGTTCACATCAAAAGGAAGAAAAGAGGGGAGGTGCTACAGTCTAATGTATAAACAGGAAGAGAGGAAGACTGTTTTATTCTCTTCAGGCTGCAGCAGGGGAGCAGTGAGAGTGAAGACTGGGGTGGGATCTTCCCATGGTCATGTTCTCTTGGTAGTCTTGTATAGCAAGCTTTCGGGCTTTAGAGCCCCAGCAGATGGCACAAATTCTGTAGTTTTTGTTAAAGATAGCCTACAATATGTGTAACTTATTATATGTGTGGTATAATGAACATTTGTTTCAAATATTCCACAAAGGAAAATAAAAACTTTTTAAAGTTCAAATACTTTAAAGGTATCAGCTCTGTTATACCAATATCTTGATAAAATTCACTGCTTTTCTAGTCACAATTTCAAGGGAAGATAACTGATACTTTAAGAAAGTATCAGTGGATAAGTAACTCTGTATCTAGTTGGGAGAGATTATCCAAGTTTTGTCCATGTTTTCTGGGTCTCTTCTGTTCATTGTTACTTAGTAGCGCCTTTACCAAGGAGGGGAGAGGAATGGAAATAGAATTACAGTTGACTCTTGAACAACATGGGTTTGAACTGTGCAGGTCCATTTATACACAAATTATTTTCAGTAAACATACAGTTTGTCCTTGGTATCCCCAGGTGTTGCATCTGCGGATTCAACCAGTGGATCCATGGTTTTGACTGCATTGATCCATACCATTTTATACAAGGGACTTGAGCGTTTTAGGATTTTGGTATCTGTTAGGGACCCTGGAACCAATTCCCTGTGGATACTGAGGAACAGCTGTAGTTAAGTTTTGGGGGAATCAAAAGTTATGTACAGATTTTTGGCTGTACAGGGACTCAGTGCCCCTAACCCGCATTGTTCAAGGATCAGTGCTACTTGCATCTATTTTGCAGTGTGGAAATGAGTTTGGTGAACTTCAAGTTAATTGTTAAAATTGATTTTAAAATGTTATGGGTTTACTTAGTATCAGATTCCCTATTGTATAATAATAGAATGGACTTTTCAGTTTCTTGTGTATCCTAATAACCAGATTTTACATGTGGTGCCTCTTTCAACAATCAGATTAATGGCATTTATGCCTGTGTCCAGTAAACGGTTTGAGTGTTAGCATGAGTGTAGACTTGTTATGCCTAAAGTTGATATGATTGTTTTTTTCCCAGAATCACCTTCCTCCCAAACTTCTGTTATTGAAAAGCTACCCTTTCAGTTGATCAAATTAGAGATCTGACATCTTTTACTCAGCCATTTCATTCATCCTTTATCATTGAGTCCTATCTGTTCTACATTTGAAATGTTTCAAATATCCACAATCCTTCCCATTCCCAGTATCACATCTCATCTTACTTGAATATTAACTAGTTCCCCTCCCTTGTGCATTTTTTTCCAATTCATTCTATACACAGGCACTAAAACAATGTGTCTAAGTCATTTTTTCTAATTAAGTCCTTCTATTCAAAACCTACTAATGGTCTTTCTGCTATTTATAGGGTAAAGCTGAAATTTCTCAGACTGCCTTGAAGACTCTTTAGCCCTATTCTACTTACACATACTTAGCCTTACAATGCTTCCTAACTTGTTTCTACTAGCACCAAATTTTGTGCTCATTCTCAGCTCCAATGTTTATGCTATCCGTTGAATTTACCCCAAACTTGTTCAGCTTTCAAAATCCAGCTCCCCCTTCTAATAGCTCTTTTATAGTTATTCTCACCTACATTAATAATCCTACGCCTTTGTGTAGTCCTAAAGTATTTTTTCTGCCACTCATTTTGGAAAATAACAATTGCCATTTTGGATAGTTGTAACAATGTATAGGTATCATGCCTTAAACATTTTTGTTATTAACTGTAGCGCCCACAGATGTTATACTGATCTGATAATAATTAAGTTCACGAACTTGCCACTGTGCACTTGTACAGTGTGTTTGTACAATGGCAGCACTGTTCGTTTGTACAGTGGCAGCTCGGTAAGGTTTTATAACCTTGGTATATCAGTGTCTCACAGCTGTGTTTGTGTCGATGTGTGGTGGTGTCTTGCTGAGTGGTATTCATTATTGTTGTTGAGTGTTTTTGTATGTTGTCGTGAGAATGTCTGAACTTGAATTAGAGCAACAAACAAACATTACATTTCTTGTTAAACTTGGTAAGAGTGGAAGTGAAATCAGGGACATGTTAGTCCAAGGTTATGGGGATAATGCCATTGAAGAAAACGGCAGTGTACAAATGGATGAAATCTCATCCGAAGGGAGAGACTGCGTCACGGATGAAGAGAGGTCAGGGCATCCAGTAACGAGCAGAACTGATGAAAACATTGCAAAAATTCATCAAATTGTGCATCAAAATCATCAGCTGACTATGAGAAGCATAGCAGACCAAGTAAACATCAATAGAGAAACAGGAAAACCTTAACTGAAAATCTTGGCATGAGAAAGGTGTGTGCAAAGATGGTCCTGGAGGAGCTCACCGATGGACAAAAGCAAAGGAGAGTCAAAGTTTGCCAAGACCTTTTGGAGAGGCAAGCCGATGTTTTGGGCCTTTTATCACTTGATGAAACATGGGTGTACCTATATGACCCTGAAACAAAGCTTCAAAGTGCACAATGGAAGTCAGCCAATTCACAACCAAAAAAGTTCCGTCAGTCCAAATCAAGAGTCAAAACAATGTTGCTAACCTTTTTTGATACCAGAGGGATTATTCTTTATGCATTTGTACCAACTGGACAAATAGTTAACCAAGATTACTATTTGGCAGTGCTGAAAAGGCTGCGTGAAAAAGACGAAAACGACCTGAACTTTTTTTTCACCAACAACTCACGGCTCTTGCATCACGACAATGCACCAGCTCACATGGCACTGTCAGTGAGGGAGTTTTTAGCCAGTAAACAAATAACTGTATTGGAACACTCTCCTTATTCACCTGATCTGGCCCCCAGTGACTTCTTTCTTTATCCGAAGATAAAGGAAATATTGAGAGGAAGATATTTTGATGACATTCAGGACATCAAGGGTAATATGACGACATCTCTGATGACCATTCCAGAAAGAGTCCAGAATTGCTTTGAAGGGTGGACTGGGTGCTGGTGTCAGTGCATAGCTTTCCAAGGGGAGTACTTCAAAGGTGACTGTAGTGATATTCAGCAATGAGGTGTGTAGCACTTTTTCTAGGATAAACTTTATTGTCAGACCTTGTATACTCTCAGTTGGGTACTGGAAGTAGAGGAGTTGGGAAAGGCAAGGGAAAAAACATGAGAAGTAGCTGCCAGGTGACTCAACAACGAAAGCACAGGCTTTTATTTCATCTAACAAATTACTCCTTTTCAGGATAAAATTAAAGCTGAAAACTTGGTTTGTTAATTGTTTCTTAGTTTCATCAAACATAGCTAAATTTAGTCTTATATGAAATTTGTGGGAAAAAAGACAGATGATTTAGGTAGTTTATTTTTTCTATTTTGTGTTAGAATATCTTGCCTGAAATATAACTGTCTTTAGCATTAATTGTTCTCTGCATCCTAGATTCTTGGCGGGTAATTCTTTACTATTATTCAGCTCTTTATTCATTTAAGAAGCAGACCTTCCTGAAATCAGTCACATTTAGATCATATATTGCTGGAAATATTTTGTGCTCTATGTATCATTCTTAAACATGTAATTAAAGATAGTACTTTTGTTTCAATAACTTACAGCAATAAGACAACTTCTAAAAGTAGATATTATATATAAGATACATCCAAACATAGACTGCCTTTGTTTTCTTTGGTATATGTTTGGGGAGAATAAGTACACAGGAGGAATTGTCAAATTAAAGAAGTAGGTCAGAATGTAAGGAATAAAAGGAATATGGGGAAAGATAAACAATGAAGAAAATAATAGAAAATTTGGAGAAAGAAATGGAAGGAAAGGATTAAAGCAGACTTTTCAAAACTCTTTGTGTACTTCCATAAACAGTTCTTCAAATAAGATTGTAATTTACCTGTCTATTGCATTTTTGCTTTACCCCTACAAGGGAAGAAAAGAAGAAAGACAAGGTGAGAAAGGAGTCCCAGACAGGATCTGGGATTTGCAACCACGACGGGAAGGGAAGGGAATACAAATTTTCAGTGTCTCAGAACTCAGATAGTTCTTATGGCTACCACACTGGACAGCTATCTTCGGTTAATTTGAGAAATGCTCCTACGATCTGTTGTCCATTGTTCAGGGTACATAGTTTGGGCTGTTATTTAACATTTCTTTATGGCACCTGTTTCTACTTACTTTGACATTTGGGTACTCACTATTAGCAACCACTTAATCTTTTTAAATTATTGCTTTGTGTCTTATAAAAAGAGACCAGGCAAGAGTGAAGGTGAACTAGTACAATGTAGCTACCATACTGGAAAAACAACTCAAAATAAATGCCTTGCCGATGAGGCCAAGAGGCAGACAGGGTTTGGCTCTATCACCTTGCATTTGAAAAACATTTAATTTAAAAAATCTCCACCCTGTCTTTTGTATACATTCCCAGGTCTCCTCCAGAGAAAGCTTGAAAGAAACGCCTATACTCCACTTAAAAAGATTTGCAGAACAGAACTGTAAATTATTCTTCAGTGCATGAATTTCTCAAATAAATGATTACATTAAATTAATATTCTTACTTTGCAGGAAGTTGGTGAGCCATCTAAAGAAGAGAAGGCTGTAGCCAAGTACCTTCGATTCAACTGTCCAACAAAGTCCACCAATATGATGGGTCACCGGGTTGATTATTTTATTGGTAGGATTACATCAGGAAATTATATTGGTGTACATATGAAGATAAATTTGGGATATGTAGATGTTTTAAAAGTGCTTTCCAAGTGTGATTGGTGAAGCTGGGTGATGAGCATATGGCAATTATCCTATTCTGTCCTTTTGTGACTGAAACCATCAATAATAAAAAGATAAAAGAAAGTGCTTTATAATAACATTTGTTGGAAAATTTTAAAACATGGCTTATTTTCAGTATTAATACTACCTTTTTTTCAGATAGAATATGTACTTAAAGATAATCTTTTTGTAAAACTGGAATAGAATTCAGTATGAAACAAGTCTGTTGGAATTAATTTAGGAGCTTTAGATGGTCACATAATCCAAAAGCCCTCATTATAAGCTAATGTCATCTATAATATAGGCCTATAACTTATCAATAGTGGTTGAATTTGCCTGTCTGATCCAATAAGATTGAATTGCCATTATAGAGAAGAAATTCTTTTATCTTTCTTTAGTGTTATGATTAATGATTTTGATAGTCATTAAAAGTTTAGAAAAATTGACATGCTATTCA